AACCCCTCAACGGTTTATCCAGATACTTTCCAAAGGAACATTTCAGGTTCAGATAAGTCTCTCAACGATTTATTCTTATTCTTTCTCGCAGGCACTTTCTCTGGTTCAGATAAATCACTCAAAGATTTACTCTGATTCTTTCCAGTTAAAGAACATTCAAGATCTCTTTTGGTTCAGTTTAAACCCTTCAACGGTTTATCCTGATACTTTCCAAAAGAATACTTTGGATTCAGATAAATCTCTCAAAGATTTATTCTGATTCTTCCCAGTCAAACAACATACAAGACTTCTTCTGGTTCAGATAAGTCGTTCCAAAGATTTATTCTGATTCTTTTCCAGTTGAAATAAAGTTCAAACTTAGTACATTCTCTGTCAACAGTCACCTTTAGATGGCATCTACAGTCCCATCTCTGAAAGATCTCCATCATTCCTCCGAATGGTATCTATAAGCTCATTCCCATTTCATTTTCGAGTGCAAATTTCTGGGCACTCTAGTGTCCAATCATCTTCCACCTTCAAGTCACGAATGCCGGATCCGCCAATCTAACTCTTCAGGTTTAAGAAGATTGAACAGAGGCAGCTTTTGTACCCCAAAATTTTCCCTCTCATTTATCAAATATTTTCTCACAAGATCTCCTTTGGTCCAAGAATGCACAAGGGTTGATCAGCTCAAGACACCTCCTTAAACACTAATGACTAAAATTAGGGTTTGAGATTGCATAAGGATAATTAAACTTTAAATGACTCATATTACTTTCATGGATTATTATGGATCCCTAAGATTACTCATGTCAAGTTTCAAGCCTTGGATCATATTTTTGCTCAGTCAATTGAGCAGTTGACCTAAAAATCAGTTATATTAGGGAAAAGTCAACTGTGGCCAATTTACAGTTAAACTTCATAATTTTTTATCCACATCAACATTATAAACTCATATGTATAATTTGATCAAGTTTGGACCATCATTCCTCAAGAAATTTGATCAAATCATCAAAAGGGCAAAATGGTTAAAATTAGGGTTTTGACTGAGAAAGGGCAATTTCTGATTTTTGACCTAGCAAATGGTTAGTTGGTTTGAGGCATGATCTCAAGAGTTCAATTGCATCACTTTACCTAATGGCATGAATCAACATTGCTCAAGATCAATTGATTGATAGTTGATTTTCAGTCAACTGATCAAAAGTCAATTGTATACTGAAAAGTTAAACTTTGACTTTTTGGTCAAAATTAAGTGTCAAAGATCATAATTCATCAAAACATGTCAAAATATGAAACTTGTTCATCAATAAATCAAAAAGTCAATATTTCATTTTGCAAAGTCAAAGTTTTCAAACTTAGAAATATTTCTAAGTGTTGAAAACTTCACATTTTTTTCACAACTTTGAGCCAATTTTTCACCATGATGCAAGATGATTCAAAAGAAACTTTCAACATGAAACTTGTAGATCTCCATGATATATACAACATTGCTTTACACAACTTCTCCTATAAATGCTTGTATCTAAAGTTATTAATCAATGAAGTCATGGTCATGAAACTAAAACACAGTGAAATTTTGAACATTTTAGGTCAGGATTTTGACCTAACTTCTGTCCCAAGTTTCACATAGTTCCATCTGGATTTTGCAAAAGTGATTCAAAGAGGGGTTGTAGAGAACATTACAAGCTTTCCAAAATGTCTAAGAAATCCTTGAGATCATTTGTGAGCAAGGAGAATCGAAGGTCAGAAGTTGGGGTTTCAAGTTGTTTTACAAGGAAAATTCTGTGATGAACAAAATTCAAATATCAAACCTATGCTACACAATCTTGCTTTGCAGGCCTCTAAACCTCAAGATCTCTCCATAATCATAAGATTACACTTTCTTTTGAGCTATTATCCACTTGAATCAAGCTTTATCCAAGTTAATTTTCCATTAATGGTACAAAGGCACCATTGCCATTTACATAAAGCAAGCTTTATGCAAAGTCAACTTGCATTGAGCTTTGCACTTGTTCCTTCTGCACAAACTTCCTCTACAAAGTCAGATAAACATGTTTAAAGTTGGTAACCACTCTAGATAGCTTTGTACTATGCATTGAAACCATGTTTGTCAACCTTACTTCAAAAACAAGTCAAGAAGCCAAAACATGTGATCTTATACTTCTGACCACCTCAAGTCTCCAAACCTTTTCCATACATAAACACAAGTCATTTGCAAGAAAACACACGCATGCTCAAACCCGGAAACTCCCTAAAACACAGAATCACCAAAAACATCTCAAAACTTGCCATTTCTGAGTTTTGAATCCAATCTCCAAATTTGCTCGTGCGTTTCTTGGCCTTTTACTTTCAAAAGCTTCTAAATAACATATACAGACAATTCCAACACCTGCAACACGACCGTAACACCTCCATCACCATCCACCATTTTCAAAAACAACACCTTGCACCTTGACTTCTCCAGAACTCCTCAGCCACTTTCAGCTCAAGCCAAGCATCACATTAGCTTCCTGGGAACTTGAGGAATCTAACCCAATCACTGGAACTCATCAAAAGCTGCTCAAACTCAAAACACGATGCCCTCTTGCAAGGTGAGTTTTCTAACTTTTGAACTCTTCATACAAGCATCATTAATGGTTTATTTGTGAATAAGAAGTGTAGACATCATTGTTCTGAAGCTAACCATATCCTTAGATTTCATTATTGTTGCTTGAGTAGTTAGAATTTTAAATCTGAACCTCTGAAAATAATTAGGTCAAGATTTGGTACTTTCAAAAATTCTCATTCATCTTTGATTTATAGTTTATGATATTTATATGGTTGGATTCGTATGAAAAAATGGAACAACTTTCATGTTTATATTTTCCATTTTTATTGAGAAATGGGGAATTTACAGGTGGTCTGGCTAGAGGTTGAAGATGAAGTGTATTCATAACTTGTTTTGTATTATATATTTATCATTTCATTTATATAAACGGATGTATAGCCACCCCAGTGGTAAGATAGCACACTGGTAATCATGAGGTCATGGATTCGGACCTCAGCGCGCTGCCTTTTGCATTTTTCCATATTTTTTGTTATTTCTCCTTTCAGGAAGCGTTTGGGCCAACAATATCTTGGGCCTGACTTTTTCTTAATAATACTCTCTGTCTCACTTACCAACCTCCCCGACTTTGTTTTATTTTATTTTTATCTTTTATTATTATATTATTATTTTCATTAATAAAAATCCAAAAAAATATTTATATTTATATTATTTTATTTTTATTTAGTTTATTTTTCATAAGACTAAAAGAACAAAAAACAATTTTTTTAATAAGTTAATTTCCTTTTTTTTAAATACTTAGATAATAAAATTTAAATTATTATTATATTATTTTTTTGTAAATTAAAATTAATTTAGAATTTAGGACTTTTATTTATTTATTTTTATTTACTAATTTAATTAAATTCACCAAAAACCCTAAAAAACTTGTTTTCCTTAACTTAATTTATTTTACTAACTTAACTTAATTTTCTTATTTTTAGTTAATTATTTTATTTTAATTAATTAGGTCAAAAAACCCTTTTCATGAAAAAACAAACAGAAATCACATTTCTTTTTACATTTACATTCTTGCATTTTTACTTATTTATTTTTGTACATTTATTCAAATTCAATATGGTTGTAATAATTATTTAGATTTAATTTCTTGCAATTCCCCATTTGTAATTTGTACACCCCTCGCCTAAATCATGTAATAGCTTAGTATTTTTTATTTTCCGCAATTTAAAATGATTTATATACAAATGCTAGTAATTATGGTTTGTATGGAAAGATCAAAACCAACGAATAGAAAACCCTAATTCAAAGACAAATCAAGCATGTAAATCAATACACTTGCACACATACACCCTTAGGGTAAATCCACTTGGTTGCCTTACAAAAATGGCCATATTATGCATGTGAGGTATCTTAGCAAAAACAAGCAAAGTACAAGATCATAGTCTCTCGATGACGCTATCCATTTTGCCTTTCAAAATGATCTTAGTCCCTAAAGAAAATGCTAGGATATCTTGCAATATTGCTAATCATGGTTATACGATGACCCACGCTCGCCCCTTTTACATCCAAAGATATGGTTACTTACCAAATCAATGGTAAAATAACAATGTCAAAGGAAAGAGAAAATGAACATGAAAGACTTTTGAGTAGGTAGAATGTTCCTAGTTACTTGCTCAATTTCAAAACAAAAACATCTTTGTTATTTTCAAAACACCTTTCAAACTTGAAAACATTTTCAAAAGATCAAAACACTTTGTATACATTCTTACGAACGAGAATCATTACAAAGTTTTCCTAAACAATGACACATTTTCAAAACACTTTCAAAAATCACACAAAACACATTTTCAAGCAAAAGAAAGTGATCTAACAAGTAACTAAGAGCTCATGAAAAACCATGGATGAAAAGGGTGTTAATACATTCCCTTTTCATAATCTACTCCCCGAACTCAAGAAAATATTTCAAAGGTCTTTCATGTTCTTTTCAGCATTTCCTTTTGGATAAAAAAAAACTCGGTGACAACTCTTGCTAAACCGCAACATTTGCGATAAAACGTAAAACAACTAAGTCAGTTCTCCCACCGTATTACAGTGTGGTAGACTACCATCTTATTTCCAGATTTTTTTAGATGTCAAAGCGAGCAATTTTAATATAGTTAAAAATAAATAATACATGTATTTGTATGTAGTGGGTTACTATTGTTTCAATGATTTCAATTTCTTGTTACGAGAATATCAATTTAAAAGATATATAACTCATAATCGCGATAGGTAGCTCTCAAATTTTTTATGATGTTATTATCATAAAACTAAACTATATGCAAAATCAATCAACTAAAACAGATTGGAGATTTATTAATAAATATATAAATTTTATTTCAGACCATAACAATATATATACATTGAGATGCAATCCTGTATTATTATCTTTTTATTCTTTATACATGTATCTCATTATCTAAGTACATGTATCACATTATCTAGTTAACTCGGGTGGTAATAAAGTGTTGATTAACTTCGGAGAATCTCCTGGACAACTGCATAAAGACCGAACACATTTACAACCAAGATTTGGATAACGACTTTCACAAGTTTCATCACGTTGACAGCCAAGTGAAACAAGTGGACCCTCTCTTGCTTCTGATATCTTACACATATCTACATTTCATGATCATCATTAGAAATTAAATCATATTTATTGTAATATTTGTTAATTGATACATTCATCTAAAATTTGGAAGAGATTAAGAGTTGAATATGATTTATTACCTGATGTAATGATAACGAAAATCAGTAAGATTGCAAATTTCACAGCTGAATATTTTTGAAACTCCATAATCACAATGGAAGATAGCTTGAAGTTAGAACTTGTATATGTAGATACTCTAGAGATAATGCCATGCTTTATTTATAATAATTTGTATAAGGTACTTTTAAAAATGTAATTAATAAACTATTATAAATTATATATAAAAAATATTATAAAAGAGACTTTATTAGTTTTATAATTTAAAAACTAGTTTGAGTAAAAAAATTATTAAATAAATAGTAAGTACGTAATTGAAGTCAACATGTATAATATTTTATACTAAAATAATAATCCTTTTCATGTATTTAATTATTGAAAATATACTTTTGTTCAAAAAAATTTATTGAAAATATACTATGATAAAAAAATAAATCATGTTCATTTGATAATTAAATCATTTAAAGTGTAAGATTTTAAATATATTTATATGATATTTTTTGACTAAATAACAATTTTTTTTTACAAATAAGTAACATATAATTAAATCATTTAAAGTGTAAGATTTTAAATATATTTATATGATATTTTTTGACTAAATAACAATTTTATTTTACAAATAAGTAACATATTTTGATTATAATAATTAATATATTTTACTTATTTTTTTACAAATAACTACATGGGAATTTTAGAATTGAAAATTATAATACTTATTAAAAATTAATATTTAGTTTATTATTAACAGATTAATCATATTATTAGTGTTAACTTATAACAATTACATTACATCAAAATATTTTTTATTAATATTATTTTTTTATATAATTTTATTTTTTTATTTACCGTAAAAATTAAATTATTCATTAATATAATAAAAAACTTTAATATTAATTTGAAGATTTTTTAATGAAAATTTTTAAAGTTAAATTTATAGTATTTTGAGACTATATATATAACGTGTGTTGCACGGATTTTATATAATATATTTGTATGAATTTTTTCGTTTTATGAGAAAATATTATTATTATTTTAAAATTTTTATAATTATGATAAATTATAATTTTATTCATAAATATGTGAATTTTGAGTTGTTTCGGATTACTTTCTTCTTTATTCATTTTCTAAGAATCTTTAAAATATTTGAACAATATAAATGTAATTAGATTTAAAAACATTAATAGTTCAATATTATCAATTTATTAAAGCAACATCGAAAAACACTTAAAGGAAAATATCAACTTTTCTGTTAATTAAATATTTCATTTTTTAATCATTTAAATTTTCTACAATTTTCTTTATATATTTTGCTACCTTTTATAATAAAATTATAATTATTTATATAAAATTTTAAATTTTAAATATTAGAAAAACTGCTTAAAGTTTATTTTAATGACTAAATATCTACATACTAAAAAAAATATTAAAGGAAAAAAGAAAAGAAAAGAAATAAAAATATTAATTTACCATGATTATATTTTAAACCACTTATTTTTAAATCCTTTTACCTCTAACAAGTTTCATAAATAATATCACACATGTCTTTAATATTCTTACGCATAAAAATAAATTATGTTATTTATGAAGCTAAAATTAATATAATTGTAATTTTTTATTCTGTTTTTGTTAGTTTTAAAAACAATAGCTAATTTTTTTGTGTTCAAGAAGTGTTATAGTCGTAATGGTATATGATATTTCATTTTGATTAAATTAAAAGGATAAGTAGAATTTCCAAATCAGTATTGTAGCAAATATATATATATATATATATATATATATATTATATATATATATATATATATATATATACTATAGATATATATATTATATATATATATATAATATATATATATATATATATACTATATATATATATATATATATATATATATATATATATATATATATATATATATATATATATATATATAATATATATATATATTATATATATATATATAATATATATTTATATATATATATATATATATATATTATATATATATAATATAAATTCATTAAATATTAATTTAATTGATATAAATATTAGTGTTAAAAAAATCAAATTATTTACGTGAAGTGCCATTAACAAATGAATAATCATTTACCTGTCCATGAAAATAAAATTAATAATCAATAATACACATGTTTAAGGTAAGAACTATATGATAAAATTATCATACAATTTGAAGAGTAGCACATCCAAATTAAAATTATATATTTATACAGAGTAGCACACTCAAATTAAAATTATATAGTTTATCTCACAAATTTAATTTACACACAGTATAAATAAATTAGAAATTAATTTAAAATAAACTTATATTTGAAAAACTCATAGGATTTTATAAATATCAAATGCTGTACAAATAAATATCTATACAAATTATTTAATATTATATAATTGATATAATATTCGAGTTAAAAACATCTAAATACTTACAAGTAGTGTCATTAACAAATAAAAAATATTTTATCATGTCACAAAATAAAATTAATAATCAATATAAATTTATAAAGTAAGAAATAGAAGATAAAAAATATCCTACAAATTTAAAGAATAGCACAAAAATGAACATGTGAAACTAAAGTCAAATATTTATACTCACATCAAGTAAGAGCACGATATACCAATAAAAATTAATAAAATTATAATAAAAAAAATTATTATTAAAATTTAATATTAATACAATTATTAGATGAGTAGTTCAAAGATTGATAAAGTTGTTTTTTAAAAATAAGAAAGATAATAATAATTTTTAAAATTGTAACTATTCAATTTATTAATTATATGATTATATAATTATACATACACTTCAATTAAAATATAAACGTGTCTTTGTATATTACTTAAGTTTCTTATAATCAAACATTTTTATTAATTTATTTACTGGATCTTTAAGAGAATAATTTATTATTTTTGTTATAAAATTTATAATAATAGACCAATAATTTATGAGAATTAGATGATATTGAAATGGTTACAAAGTTATTTACTTAATGTTTGTTTTGTTGTATAAGAAATAATTTTGAAATTTAAGTTTTGTTTATTTATATATAATAAATAAAATATGATATATTGTAAGGATTTGGGAGAATTCTTCTATAGAATAAGTTTTTTGGAGTTATATCATTAGACAATAAATAAGTTAGAGAAAATTTTACAAATTAATTGGAGATCGTTATTTTAATAATTAGATATGTTTTAATAATAACAAAAGTCATTTGTCGC